GCAGCATCGATATAAAATGGTATGTGTGAACGCTACAATTTGCTCCGGAGCAAATGCTCGTTTGCGAGGGGGGAGTAGCCTCGCTACGCATGAGAAGAGTTGATTACGTACCGTGGGAATGCGTTGCTTTCGTGCTCTGTCGGACTTCTGTCATGTGTTTGTTTAATAACAACACAAGACATGGCTGGTAACGTAGCAAGCACCTCTTGGGTTATACCATCTCAAGTAGAACGGGGGGTGGGTGGGGACTGGAAATAGTCCCCAAACGTCATCTTTCCTTTTGTAGGAGACTGGACTGTCTCGGAGTTGTTTGTGTAGTTTGTTCCTTTGTTGTGTATTCACAAGCCCCCGTCCCCCATAGAATTTATTTTGTGATTTCCTCTCTTGATTTTTCTGCTTGGCGCTTTTCTGAGTGTCATTGAAGTCATCGTTGATTTACATTTTCGGGGGTGGTTACTCTCGAGCAGAAGGCACGGAGACTGAGAAGGAGAAGGACGTGCCTGTACAGTAGTTGCTTGAGTTGTGTATAAGTTTTAAAAAGAACCAACATGACAGCTCATTTGTTTTCTGTCGTTTTGCTCTGCTGCAGAAACTGCCGTGTGACTGCAAGTGGAGCTGCACCGACACTGCACCGGTGGTAACACGCTCAGCGGCTTTGTACGTGTGACCGCTCCACAAAATTTGCTCCGGTTTAAAATATATCGCAACAAAATACATTGGTGCAGCGCCGGAGCAAATGTGTGCCGTGTGAACACCCCTATTGAAAAACAAATCAAGCTGTTCTCGGCCCCTTCCTGGTGGATGCAGAAGAAGTGGAAGAGAGTCTGCAGTTAGAACTGATTGAAATGCAATGTGATGATTCTCTGAAGAGTCAAAATCAGCTTCTTTCCCTCTCTGACTTCTATCAGAATTTGGATAATGCCAAGTTTTCTCTGATGAGACGCCACGCAAGAAGAATGATGAGCCTGTTCAGCTCAACATACATATGTGAACAAACATTTTCTCTATTAAATCAGAACAAAAGCAGACTGAGATCCACAATGACTGATAGCAATCTTTGTGAAGTCCTTTGTGTCTCAACAACCAAACTTTCTCCTGACATCCCAGCTATTCTTCAATCCAAAGGACAGCATCACTGCTCCCACTGAGAGCAATGTTCTTCACATTATAGGTGAGTTAGAAATACACACAGTAATCATGTGTCAATACGTCACCTCTAGTGTGTGGCCCGAGCCTTTGCTTATTTTTCTGTATTTGGCCCTCACCAAAAAAACTTTGGACACCCCTGCACCAATATGTCTGTATGCCTCCTTTCCCTCTGGAGGAACCTAAACAGCTTGGCAAGACTCATCTCACACTCGGTGAACGGGGGAGACGGATGAATGCAAACTTGTGCCTGCACTGTGGGCAGGCAGGTCATTTTGCAGATACTTGTCCATCCCAACCAAAAGATCAGGCTCGTCAGTGAAGGAGAGTACTATGGTGCACCAAACTTCCTCTTCATTTTGCTCTCCTACCCGTTTATCCCTCCCTGCCAAATTGACATTCAATTCACGGACTGTTCCCATTCATATAATTTGGTGCAGACGACAATTTTATTGACAAGGATTTTGCTACTTCGGTTAAGATGTCCCTTGAGGTAACAAAAGTCATTCAGGCCCTGAATAGCAGATCTGTATTCAGGTTTACTCACCATACCACTACCCTTTCGTTGGCCGTCTGGGGGAATCATAGTGAAATAATTCAAACAATTCATCACCCCTAAACCTCGTCTCCTGCCATTCTTGGTCTCCCCTGTCTTAAGCGCCATAATCCGCATACTGACTGGTCACTGAAAAAAATCTTGGTCTGGAGTTCTAACTCTCACTTGTGTCAAGGTTCTGCGACCCCACGAGCGGGAGTGAGTGAGCCTCGGTCCTTCACATCCATCGAACTCCCCAGACCTTTCCACAGTGCTGTCACAATACCACAACTCTGCTACCGTATTCAATCAGAAGCAGGCGCACACCGCCCATACGACTGTGCCATTGACCACCTTCCAGGGGCTCTCCTCCCCACCGGTAGACTTTTCAGCCTTTCTCGCCCTGAGAGGGAAGCTATGGAAACATACATTTCTGACTCTCTGGCAGCTGGTTTGATCCATCCCTCCTCCTCGCTTGTTGAAGCAGGATTTTTCTTTGTGGAGAAGAAGGATGCCACCATTTGTTCGTGCATTGATTTTCAGGGCCTCAGTAAGATTACGGTTAAAAACAAGTACCCATTGCCGCTCATCGACCCATCATTTGAACCCCTCTACTATGCCCAGATCTTCACCAAGCTGGACCTCAGTAATGCTTATCACCTCATCCTCATCAGGGAAGGTGATGAATGGAAAATTGCTTTCAATATTCCCCTTGGTCATTTCGAATATCTTGTCATGCCCTTTGGACTCACAAATGCCCCTGCAATTTTCCAACACCTTATGAATAACATATTTCGAGACATGCTCAACCACTTCATCCTCATTGACTTGAATGACATTTTGATCTTCTTCCCTTCTCTTGAGGAGCATTGTCTACACGTGCAAATGGTCCTTCAAAGTTTCCTGGAGAACACTGTTTATAAAACTGGGAACATGTGAGTTTCATGTCCCATCTGTGGATTTTCTGGGCTACATTATTGCCAGGGGCCAACTTGAACCTGATCCTACAAAGATACGGGTGGTTGCTGACTGGCCTACCACCACTAACCGTAAGGAATTCCAATGGTTTCTGGACTTTGACAATTTCTACCGCCGCTTTGTCCGTGACTACAGTACGGTTGCTGTTTCCCTAACTAACCTCACTCGCCCCGCTGTAGTTCTGAAGACCCTAAGCCAATTCTTCCTCCTTTCTGTGTTGTGGGCGCTGCAACCTGGGATACGGTTGTTAAGGAGGCCTTGAAGGCTGACCCGGTTCCTGGTAATGGCCCGCCCAACAGATTGTTTGTTCCCCCCGGAGTTCGTTCCCAAGTCCTCCAACGGGGGCATTGTCTCTTGTTGTGTTCTTGTTCCTGTATCCTCAGCAGGTGGCAGACTGAAGCATATCCTCAAGTGTGCACACCTTCTGCCAATGTTGTCATCAGGGAGCCATGTATTTAAGGTCTGACAAACTGTCAGCAGTTTGTTGGATTATTGTTGACCTTGTTTGCTGCTCTGGCCAAAGTGATCATTTTCTAGACCTCTTGTTCACGTCATAGTTGTTCTCCTTCCTTAGTACCTGTATTTTTATTTTTTATTTTTTTTGGTGTTATCTGGTTTAGTCATTTGTCTTTGTTTTTTATTTTTTTTATTTTGCGTAATTGGATTCTGGACATTTCGTTGGTTTTCTCGGTTAGACTTCCTCCTTGCCTTTTGCAAGTGCTTTTTGTTTATGTATAGTTTTTTTCCTGTTTCTTTTAACCAGTGATTTCTGTTCATACTTTGTCGTGCGTTTTATGTTCTTGTAAATAAATCTTGCTACTGAGTTTTGTTTGTTGTCTACGTTTCTGGTATCCTAAAACAGTATTCAGATCGTTTCGACCCCTGACACCTCTACCCTTAACACCTCTTGGTCGTTCCATCAGGAGACACAGAGTGAATTTCCATTGTTACATTGGTGATACAGCTGAATATCTCTTGCTGATACAAGTCCACTGGATGGTCTTTTTAACTGCATTTTAGAGATGAAATCCTGGATGATAACTTTAACAGGACAAAACGGCACTTTTAGTCATCGGTCCTGAGGCCCAGAGAGACAGACTTCAACCAAATCACAAGGGTTTAACCCTTCATCACTAGTGAGAAACCTGGGTGTGATTCTAGACTCAGAGATATTGTTTTACTGAACATTAAAAATTTTAAAAATATATTTTTATCAAAAAAAGATAAAATTTTAAAAAAAAACATTTAAAGCTCGTAATTATTACAGAACTTGGCAATGTCTGTCCTAGCTATTATCAGAGGACGGTTGCACATTACAACGATATTAAAATTACTGCATTGGGTTCCCCTGTGTTTCAGGATCGATTTTAAGTTTTCTTTTAAGTTGTTTTTTTAAATGTCTGAATGGTCTTGGGCCTTCTCATCTCGATGAGCTCCTTTTACCTCATGAATCCTTGTGAGCTCTGATGTCCTCTGGCTTTGGCTTGTTAGTTATTCCAAAAGTCAGGAGCCGAATATACAGTGAGACATCTTTTCAGTTTTACAGTCCCCGTTTGATGAAACAACTTCCCAGAGAACCTCAGAGCTGCAGAGTATGTTATTGTTTTTAAAACTAGACTCAAAACCCACCTTTTTTAAGTTAGCTTTTAACTAATATTTGTCTATGTACATTTTTTTAACTATTACCTATATTAAATATTTTCGGTTATACTGTGTAGTTTTTGCGCCTCCCATGGTTGTCTTTTCCGTGGAAACCAGGTCGAAATGCCTCTTTGAGTGTAATAGTTTGCCGACCCCTGTTCTAAGCAAAGCAACCTCAAAAGTAATGGTACTAATGTAAATTACTGTGTGTGAACATCCATTTTCTAATCCGCTAATCTTCACGAGGATCACAGGAATGCTCGTGCCTATCCCAGTTGTCTTGGGCATTAAAAAATTTGAAGTCTTGGCTCTTTGCCATCGTCCTAACCAAAAAAAACAAAGCTATAGCAGCTGCAATCTTAGTGCTTCAACCACTACTCCGACCTCTGTGCTGCTGCCTCTGGCACCTACTACCTTCCCCAAATATTGGTTTGATAGATAATCTCAAGAATGATTTCAGTCAATGTTCCCTCTAATTTTTCATATATCTGGGCAAACAAACAATCTCCATGAGCACACAAGGACCACTATGAGCAACATCAAAAGTGCTCACTGTGGCCAGTGGCCACACACCAGTATCGCACCTGGGATCATAGAAATTTTCATGTCTTAAAAGAAACAAATTATAACAGCAATTAATGCATTCATTTTAATGGCAAGTAATATATTTTCGATAAGAACTTTAACTTGCTCAGGGTCAGATTTTTTTTCTGTGGGACAACCAATTCTTTGTCTCCCGATCGTTTGCGCTCTCCCATAATAATGTACGAATCCCTTTTCCCATCTTGAGTGTTCGTATAATTTCAACAGCATTAAAGATGACTTTTCTGCTGAATCTGCCGCTTGAGGTAGTCCAGCTTCCATTTAGTCCGTATTTTTCATCGGAAAATTTGCTAACAACTTTAGCTTCGCTGCATGTTTTGCCGAGCAGACCTTTCTCACTCGAAAAAGAAAAGATCTCACCCCGTTTCACTGCTTGTTCTTTTATTTGTACAGACTCTGACAGCCATTCACTTAGAATCCCAAGAGGGGGACTTTAGTCTTGACTCTGTTTCCCCCCACAGACACCAATATGTGTCACACCCCTAATTACTTTCCATTGTATTCCTAAGTACCCATCAACGAGTGGGTGCTTACCCACTGACACAGACACAGCTGTCCTGCACAATACCCTTTCAATGACTTGAGCACCGACTAGCGCCCCCCTCTCTCCCGAACCACACACAAAAGTTTCTTTTGTGTGAGAGAGCACAGCACACAAACTCAGAGTCCACTCAGACGTCGACCATGGCACATCGAAGAAGGATGACTGCTCAGCAGGCTTTAGCAATGCTACAGAGCATGTCGGACTGCGATTCTGATGGTGGAAATGTTGGAAGAAGCCTGGCATTTCAGAACGAAAATGGCAACACCGATTCTTCAAGCGATGACAATGATCCAGCTGAGAATGTGAGTGTTTTTTCACAAGCAGATCATCCCCTCCAAAGGCACACCAGGAGACAGGTAGCCAAGTATGTGGTTGAGCAGGACAGTTCAAATACTGAGGCCTCATCTGATGAAGAGGAAGACACAATGTATGGCAACCCTCCTCAAAGTAAAAAACAAAAAGTTGGTCATGTTGGCACACCGCCTGGATCCGCAGAGAGGGCGAAAGATGGCACTGTTTGGTTCCAATGGAAAGTTGGAGACTTGATTGTTGCTGAAACCCCACAAACTGCCTTCAACGGATCTGCAAGGCCAACAGAGTCAATGAGACGAAAAATCACAAGTCGCCTTCAAAGTTTCCTGTGTTTGGTGGATGTAAACATGTTGCGGAGCATCAGAGAACACACATCCGCGAGAGCCACAGAACCAAACCCAACTGGCAGATGGCTGTTCACGAGCTGATGGTGTTCGTCGCAATCCTTTTTCGAAGAGCGGCAATGGGTTACATAGGTCCCAAGCGAGACATGCGGGCCAATAAGTTTGGTACCCCAGATATCAAACCCATTATGTCTCGTAATCGCTTCTACGAAATAAAGCGGTACCTCCGCTTTGACAACAAGGACACCCGCAGGGAACGCATACAAAATGACAAATTTGCTGCAATTTCAGAAATCTGGCCGAAGTTCGTTCAGAATTGTATATTGCCATTGTTGTGTAGCGTGTATAAGGAGAACACATGCGCAAGTACTGTCAGTCGCCGTGATTGGCTGCATAGCGTCATTGCATTGCATCGTATGATTGACTGGACACTTGTCACTCGCTGAATTACACAGCAAAATGACAGAAAAAAGTTATATATCTCATTCATTTGCAGTGTGTTCACTGTGCTGGATATGTTTTCTTGTGCGCTGAGAGTGAGCGACCAGTGCGCAGTTGTGCACCTAAGAGGGAACATTGATTTCAGTGCTGTTCTATTAAATGCACTCGACTTCTTCGCACCATTAAGACTAAATGCGTGTCCTAAGAGACATACTCCACAGTTTACAAATGAAATGCACACACTTAAACAATCCTGTAAGAAGCGTGAATGCAAATGGTGTGCAGCTAAACCTGAGGTCAACATAAGGCACAGTCTGATCGCTTGCTGAAATACATAGAAACTCTTGTCTGAGGAAAAACCTATAAATTCTCCAGAATAATCGATCTTCTTGAAAATAAATTTAAATACATAGTTGATACAGTAGTATTGCTAACACAACAGCAGCTGACGTCCATCAGCTCCCTCCATTCAGCTCAAGATTTCATGCATTTTTTTTTTTTACTTTGCAGATTCAGCTCATTAAGGATGAGTTTGTGGATATGGCCCTAAAACTCAGTCAAATCCCGTGATTACTGATGTTAATTGGGGCAGTAAGGCTGATAATTGTCTGATAACATGCTCTCATTTTAATAAAGTATCCCTGCAAAGTCTGTTACAACAACATGCAAACTTTTGAAATTAACATTAAAGCAGCATAAGAACAACAAAAGGAAGCAACTTTAATGTTCCATTTAATGCGGTAGGTATTGATCCCCAGGTTGACCTTGACGGTGAGAAATGAGAGGTTTTAAAGTTATTTGCATAAAATTAATTATTGGCAGAAAAGGCAAGTGAGCATGCAGTGCTTCGACCCTCCTTTATTCTTTCGAGGAATGAGCAAGCCAGACACTTACAATGAGGAAATTGAGATATTTATATTGTGCTACGTGAGTAAGTATCAAACTCCATCAGGCCAACAGTGGTTGCCAAATGGTTTATGTCTGGCCACAAGTCTGGACAGAAGTGATATTTCGTCCCACCTGAACACACTACATTTACCCTAAAGCAGTGGTTCTTAACATTTTTAGAGGTACCGAACCCTACCAGTTAATATGCACATTCACCGAACCCTTCATGAGTGAAAAATAAATATATATTTTTTACAAATTCAAGATATTAAAAAAAAAAGAAACGCATTTATTAAAAACAGAAAAAAGTTAATAAAAAATCAAGTGATAAGTATACTTTTTTTTAACTGAATGATGTACTATCACGAATCACGTTGATTACGAAGCGAGCTAAATTTCCCACAGCACTGATTGGACAAGCGATGTCATGTGATCATCTGCAGTCAGTGATGGTCAAGCGGGCGCGTTATAACTAATTAACATGTTGAGTCGCGTGTGTCTTACCCTCCATGGCAGAGGCTCCGTTGAACCGCTGAGACCGACTAACTGAACCCCTGGGATTCGATCAAAACCAGGTTAAGAACCACTGCCCTAAAGGTAGTGTTCACACATTCCCACCATCCGATTAGTGAGGCTTGGTAGCAGCATGACACTAAAAAGGAAAAGGCCAAAAAAGAAACACAAGCGTGGTGCAAACAGAGAAGACCGGAATGTCTTGAAGTGACAGCAAGCAACGATTAAAGTAAAGCTATTCTGTTTAGTTTATTGTCAAGTGTCAGAGCCAAATAAGACTCATAACTCATGTGAATAATGGCTTCGTGCTGGCCAATTCAACTGCGAAAAGAACAGCATGGAATGATTTAAAGACTTGTCCTTCCTCTTTACAGTGGCCCAGCAATATTTTATTTTCATAATCACAGAAGTAAATGTCAAATCATCGAAGCAACTGATTTTTTTCCCGACAAAAGTGACTATCACACGCTGTTTCGAGAACAAAACGTCAGTAACTTATCTTGAAGGAACTGAACTTTGGAACCAAAGGGTCATGGTTTAGGTCCTGCTACGTACAAAATAAAAATGAATTATTTGTTGGAGAGATACTAGTGTACTGTACTTACATGGCCAATTATTGCATGGGTTCATTTAGCATTATTGTGGCACCAGTGGAACAGGCTGTCCCTTCATTTCCCACTGTCAGTGAACAATGTGGCAATAATAAAGGCAGCCAGCTACCAGAGAGGACTGCAATTCGTATTGATTTTTGGCTCATAATCAGTCATCACACGCCCACGAACAAATGATGTGTGCCATCATCGTGACTACATAATGACAGCAACACATTGATAACCTTAGTGAGGTTTGATGTTTGCCGTAATCACTCATGTCTCCTACCTTCTCCTTTAAAAACTCGGCACAAAACTACAAACTTGAACCTGCCATTCGCTGCCAAAAAGGCACCGGCATAGCTTCACAGAGCAAAGTGTAACAATACTTCAGTGGAAAGTTAAATCATGGAGATATTGCTTCGTTTTCATGAACATTTATTATTTTAGTTGTGACATTGATTATTAAGTTATCAGGTTACAAATGGCAAAAACTGTGTTTTAAGCCCCATCAAGCTTTGTTTGGAACGGGCCCAAATAAGGAAAAGTGCATCGTTTTCTTCTCAGTGTGGTCTGTTTTGGAGAAAATACTGTAAACTCTTTGCTATAGTGTTCACCCCGTATACATTTTAGGCCCTAGAGACAGATCAGCTCGAGCCATGGAAACAGAATTTTCTCAGAACCAAGTCTATGGTTACACAGAAAGCCCCCTGCACACTAAATTTGTGATGAAGGCAAAGAAAACAACTCTGCTATAAAGCTTTCAAAGAGATGAGGAAAAAAAATACTGCATTGTTTTTAGTTTATTTATTTTTATTTTTTTTAAATTGGAAGCAGCAATTATTGTTGCTGATCCTCACTCCCACTTTGTATTACCGCTTTGAAAACAAAACACAGTCACTGTAGGTACAATGTAAGATGCAAATGGAGGTATTAATTACCAAATCCGATTTCTTTATTTTTTTTTCCTCTCACATTCAGTGTGTGTGTGTGTGTGCGCGCGTGTGTATATGTTATTGCTCAGACAAATTCATAGTGTGATTGTTTACATTTTTTAATGTTGCTGGGCATGTGAGCCAGCAAATTTGTGAAGAGAAGAAGTCAGAGTCTGAGTTTTCACAGGCTTTCACAGATACAAATTTTATCTCAAAATTTCACTGTAAATTAGGCACATTGAACTAGGGCTATACTGGCTAGCAAAAGGTTATTGAACATCGTCCAAACTGTGTTTCCCGGATTTGAAGACAATATTAAAAATCCATATTTTCATGATTAAACAATTAAAAACCAACAGTGATTGTGTTTACTCAAATCATTGCACCCCCCCCCCACACATACACAGTTTATATTAAATCTGATAGAGATTACATGTTAGTTTGACACCAACCAGTCTTATCACACACAGGTCAATTCACTGGATGTAGCACTTCAGTCTTATTGTCAATGAAAGCTCAGGCTCTTGCTCTGTGGTTTGATGTCATTGACGTGTGAGGTGGTCACCTTCCTCAGAACAACAGCCACACAAACATATTCCAAGATAATTGCCCTAATTTATGGTTTTGCCAGGTTGGGTTTTGCATTCTGTTTCATATTACGTACTTGTATTGATTGTGCGAGCAAGATGAGCAACAAGGAAGAGCTGTGCACACGTGTACATGTGGCTTTGTGTCAGACACGAGCAAGTTATTGCTTGTGAAATGTCTGAGTTAGCGTTTTTACTGTTAATCTAACAGCGTTTACTTAATCATGATTATTAAAACGTATTTAACGAGTTTTCTCAGGTGGTTTAGTACATTTCTCGGATCTGAATTGAAATGTGCAAAAGAGAAAGGGCATATCTCAATACAATTCATACAAATAGCAAAATATCATGCTTTCCTTGCAAAAAACATTTTCTTTCTCAAAATCATTTCTCTCAAAAGTAAATATTTGTGCTACTAAAGTCTTGTGCCTGTGTATGGATAAGACAGTTAAATTTCTTAATCGTGTCAAATATAACTACGCTGGTGGGATATTCTGATAAACTGTCACATTAGTTTTGATGATAAATTCAATGCTCTAAATTGGAAGTTTCAACTTTGTGTCTGTGGAAGACTGATTACAAGAGACTGGGCAAGATTCACATTTCCGCTTTTGCTGACGTGGGCACAGAAATTTCCATGTCAAAATTTGGCATCCCCCCCACCAAAACAATAAGTGTGACATTTTGGGGGTCTCCTGAAAAGTGATGATTTGGATTCCATACAACGTCAGCTTTTTACAATTTACACTGTAATATGTTGACAAATCATCTCATTGGGATACAGAAAGAAAAACACAGCACTGTACAGCACAGATATTGCTTGAACAGTGCTCTGCGGGATATTTGAAGCTTGCGGAGTTGTTTTATATCCTAGCCATGTTTTAAACTTCTCCACAACAGTTTTTGGGACCTGCCTTTTGTGTTACTAGGTCTTCATGATGCGACTTGCTCTTTAAGCAAACATCTGAGACAATCACAGAGCAGGTATACTAGGGCTGGCCGATAAATTAATATCATTAAGTATCATGATAGACGTGATCAATATCAATCGAAAATGCCTTTAATAAAATGCTCATCGGGAAGCATACGGTGGTGTGTGCGCTGTCGGCAGGGCCTTCAGAGCGGCGTTGTATTTAAGCCACTCTTAGAAGCATGCAAGAGGAGATTTTGAGCAGAAAGAGTGTTTTGAGTGCAGCCCATTCCAGACACAAAGGAATAGCTGAACAAACGAAGATGTACGTGCGTGCATGTTGCAAATTCATGTGGAAAAAGCGTGTGGTTTCACTTCATTCAAGTTAATGACCAGTCGACTCAGTCCTGCCGTAAGATGATATTGTGCAATCTAACCAATGAGCCCGCTATAAAGGTAAAGTAGTCGTAAAACAGTTGGCCAACTGCAATGCATCCACATACTTTATATGCAGTGAATGAAGGTTCAACTGCTGGAGTAGCAAATTTGCACATTGCATTACGATGTACATAAAAAAAAAGTGTACACACGTTGAAA